GGTACAGAGGATCCTAGCCCAGATCGGCTACGCCCCGGGGAAATTCAACCCCAACTTCTGGGTGGCCCTCATGGGAGTGATAACGGCCTTCGGCATGGCCGGTGAAGAGAGCCCCTCCTATGAGCAGTTCTCCCATCTCTACAGCATCACCAGGGCGCCGGGGAGTCCCCTTCGGGACAGCCTGTCCGATTCCACATTCCCACAACTTTCCAAATAGCTGGTAGGACCACGTGCCGTTCGGTACCCTCTCTGGGTTCCTTGTTTACCGTAGGTGATCCTTCCTGTCTGTTCTTTTTGTAGGTAAGTTGAAGCAGCCGATCACGACGCAGGCCGAGATCCAGCAGGTGGAGAGAGTGAGGAGGAAAGTCACTGCCGAGGAGAGGGTGTATCCGCAGTTCCTCTTCACCACCAACCTGATTCAGGCCCAGCTGGTCGATCCTGCCGAGAGTAAGTATACTTTGTATTTTGTAAATTGTTTCTTTTCTTATTTTGTGGGTCTTACCGAACCCTCTTTTCGCAGTGACGGAAGAGAGGAGAGCTGCCGAGGCTAAGAGGATGAACGAGTCCTCCAAGCGCCGTCTCATGATGGGCTTCCAGGGGAAGAAGAAGAAAAGCCAGCCGCAGGGCTCGGCATCGGCGGACCCTGAAGACCAGACCCTGGCTGACTGTCTCCGTCAGCTCAACACCGATTCTGCACAGGCCGGAGCGGCAGCGGTCGGCCCCTCTCCTCGCCGAGGCGCCTCTACCGAAGGGACTTCCTCCCGAGCTGCCGGTAAACGGCCCCTTACCGTCGACCTGGATGACGAACCGGCCCCAAAGCGCGGACGGCAGGCCGAGCCTACTCGGGCCATCTTCACTGCTGACAACGACGAGGGGCCTGCCGATCCCGTCACCCTGGCCTGTCCGTCGAAGACGGTTCAGTTTGCGAACCATATGATCCTTGGTTCGCAAATGGAGCTGAATGAGATCGAGGAGCTGCAGAAGAAGCTCCTTCGAGAGGAGGCGGGTCGCGCCTTCCGTCTTCAAGCATCGGTAAGTCCCGAGTACTTCCAAGTCCAGCCTATCGGTCGTTTTTCTATACTTTGGCTGACGTGTCCTTTTGTTCTGCAGGCTTCGATGGATATGTGGCTTTGCATGAAGCGGGCCATCAACGCTGCTGAAAAGGCGAAGAAGGCCTATGAAGACGGCAGGGCCAGGGTTGGCGAGGC